TTAGTTTCCTTTCTTGGAAGTGCATGGCTAATGGTGACACCTTCAACAACCAGTGCTCAACCAGTGGATCTCAGGATTTTATTGAAGTAATTTTACAAGAGCAATGTACAAATATGCAGCGTAAATAATAACACACCAACGCTTTGGGGCCATGGAGAACCCATTTCTCAAAGTAACATTTGTCTGGTATCAAGGTGTGTTTTGGGTTACTCCGCAAATTTGTACATTGCTCTTGCAAAATGACATAATTAAAATCCTGAGATCCATTGGTTGAGTGCTAGCTCTCTCTTCTACTAGCAATAAAAACCAACCTGATACAGGTTCTAATTAGGGATGCACCGATTCCGTTTTTTTATTGGCGAGTATGAGTACCGACACTTTGGGGTTTATTTACTAAAGCTGAAGAGTGCAAAATCAGACTCCCTTCTGCATAGAAACCAATCAGCTTCTAACCTCAGCTTGTTCAATGAAGCTTTGGCAATGAAACCTGGAAGCTGATTGGTTTCTATGCAGAAGGGAGTCTGACTTCGCTTTAGTAAATAAACCCCTTTCTGTCAAGTACTTGCTGATACCGAGTACCATTAATGTGCGTTAATGGACGCAAATTGCAGCACAAAGAATAGCATGCAATTTGAACAGGAATGCGATTCCTGTCCAAATCTCATGCGGTGTCCCCACTTCTCCAGTGTGAACCCAGGCTTGTCATAGCCCGGGTTCACACTGGAAACCTCCCTGCAGGCATCCCATGCTGCTCATCAGTGGTAGGAGAGGAGAGAAAGTGGTGGGGATTTGAAATCCCCACCACTTTCTTTCCTCGGTTTGCAGCGATGAGAATTCAAGCTACACGGCATCTGATTGGCCGGCCGCTGCAATTTGGACAGGAATCACATTCCTGTTCAAATCGCATGCTAATCTTTGCAGTGCAATTTGTGTCCATTAATGCAATTCTTACTGCAAAGTATCAATTAAGGTATTGGGAGTATCTTCACAAGTATGTGTACTCATGAAAATACTCGGTATTGGCACCGATACTGATACCTGTATCAGTATTAGTGCATCCCTAGTTCTAATTTTTGTCCACGCTATCCAAAGCAAAAAAAAAAAAAAAAGAAAAGTTTTTGCTTTGGATACACTTTTATAAACCAACAAAAATCATCTTTATCTTACTTTTCTTATTTACTCCAAAGCGTTTCAACAAAACTGCAAAATGTCTCTGAAATTTCAGGGAAATTAAAACTCTCTATTTTATTCATCACTAGTCATGATTAAACCTGATCAATTCTAATAATTTATAGCATAGCTAAAGGCAAATTTTTTTTCAAAGTTTCGATAGAGTAGGGAGGGGTTAGGACTAGAGATGAGCGAATTATTCAAAAATTCGATTCGGCCGATTCGCCGAATTTGCGGGAGAAATTCGATTTGATGCGAATTTATTCGCTGCGAATTTAACTTATTAAAAGGGTTTCTAGGCTTCAGAGAGCCTTTATATTAGTGCAGAACACTGTACCTTTAATTTAAATGCCCTTGGAGTCTGCTGGGGAAGAGAAATAATACTGTCAGTCAGTATGACATGCAGATGAGTGTGCCGTCGATCTTAGAATCACCGCACACTTCACTCATTTGGGCAGTCACGGGGCACGAAGAAGAAGAAGAAGAAGAATGAAAAGAAGAATGAAAAGAAGAAGAAGAAGAATGAAAAGAAGAAGAAGCAGAATGAAAAGAAGAATGAAAAGAAGAAGAATGAAAAGAAGAATGAGAAGAAGAATGAAAAGAAGAATGAGAAGAATGAAAAGAAGAATGAAAAGAAGAAGAAGAATGAAAAGAAGAATGAGAAGAAGAATGAAAGAAGAATGAGAAGAATGAAAAGAAGAATGAAAAGAAGAAGAAGAATGAAAAGAAGAAGAAGAGGAATGAAAAGAAGAAGAAGAATGAAAAGAAGAAGAATGAAATGAAGAATGAAAAGAGGAATGAGAAGAATGAAAAGAAGAATGAAAAGAAGAAGAAGAAGAATGAAAAGAAGAATGAAAAGAAGAAGAAGAAGAATGAAAAGAAGAATGAAAAGAAGAAGAAGAAGAATGAAAAGAAGAAGAAGAAGAATGAAAAGAAGAAGAATGAAAATAAGAATGAAAAGAAGAAGAAGAAGAATGAAAAGAAGAAGAAGAAGAATGAAAAGAAGAATGAAAAGAAGAAGAATGAGAAGTAGAATGAAAAGAAGAATGAAAAGAAGAATGAGAAGAAGAAGAATGAAAAGAAGAATGAAAAGAAGAAGAAGAAGAATGAAAAGAAGAAGAAGAAGAATGAAAAGAAGAATGAAAAGAAGAAGAAAGAATGAAAAAGAAGAAGAAGAAGAAGAATGAAAAGAAGAAGTAGAATGAAAAGAAGAAGAATTCCAGTACAGCAAAAAGTGTATCTGCAGAGAGCTCCGCTATTTCTGACAGTTCTCTGACAGTTCCTTCACATTTACAGCGGTTGAAACATTGTATCTATTTATTTCCGAATAAAAACATCTGTATCCTAAATGGAAACAAATAGATACAATGTTTCAACCGCTGTAAATGAACTGTCAGAACTGTCAGAGAACTGTCAGAAATAGCGGAGCTCTCTGCAGTGACACTTTTTGCCGGCTGATCGGGGGGAAAATTCGATTCGTGCACCCGAAGTTTGCTAAAATTCGGATTCGGTGCGAATCGAATTTTTCCTAATATTCGAAACTAATTCCACTTCGCCAAGTTCGATTCGCTCATCTCTAGTTAGGACCTCTGTCAGATCCTTATGACTAACTAAGGTTGATTTAGTAAAGCTGGAGAGTGCAGAATGTTTGACCTAAGAAAAAGTAGAAAATATTTTGGTTTTGTTTTCAAAATTTTTTCAGCCTTTTTTTTTTGTTTATATTGCAAAAATTAAAAAAAAAACCAGTGGTGTTCAAATACCACCAAACGAAAGTTGTTTTTTATAATTTGTTTTTTTTTTAATAGTGTGAAAAAAATTATAAAAATGTCATTTGCGTACAGTGTTGCATGACCATGCAATTGACAGGTAAAGTAGCACAGTGCAAAAAATGTTCTAGTCATGAAGGGGGTAAAACCTTCTAGAGGCCAAGTGGTTAAAGGAGTGTGAAATTTATTTTTTTATTTTTAGTTCCCTCAAATAAAATACAATTCTGTAAGATATAATTTCCCCACTGAAAATGTATGGAAAAAATATAAAAATAAAACATTTATGAATGTTTCTTGAGGTAATATACATAATCTAGTGGCTGCAGCCACCGGCATTGTGTATAAAACTGACAGGCAGACGCCTGTCAGGCCAGGTGGCTTTGCTGCTGCCGATTACTTCTACAGCCCCCAGTTCTGGTGCCCCCCCCCCCCCCACGGGCACATTCCCGCCATGTAACCAGGCTCCGCTTGCCCATCTGCGGGCCGGGGGTAGAGCCATGGCAGGCGGAGGGAAGAGAGGACAGTGGATAAGCATCCGCTCCCCTCCCCTCCCCTTCTTTGTGTGACCTCGAAGGCGATGTCCATGATATCACTTCCGGGTCATGGCTGTCACTTTCCCAGCTATAATATTAGGGGAAATATGTATTGCAATTCAGTTTGCATTGGATCACACAGAAGACATGCAGGGTCTTTTAGATCCTGCATGTCTCAATAAAGAAAACCTGTCACCAAAAAATGATCACATAGGGGACTTTGAGTTCCCTATGTGGTGAAAAAAAAAGTTAAGTAAATAAAATAAAGTTACACCCAAGCACATAACATCCCCCCAAAAAAATTTTGAGCCCACCCACATATACGCATGTAAGAACTTAAACGCACGCGTCGGGGCACCTACATGTGAAAACGGTTGATTGTGATACATATATCACATAGCACCACGCACGCTGGAGTGAGAGCAATAAACTGCTGACCTATAGGGAGCTTTTGAAGCATCATTTATAGAAAATATAGGGTACTGAAGTTTGATGCAATTCACAGACACACACAAATTTAAGATTTGGCATGCTGGGTATCTATTTACTCGGCACAACCTCCTCTCTTTTATATTTTACCAAAAATGTGGGTAATTAATTGCATTTGTTTTCCTGAAAATTCACTTTATTGTGATTTTTACAAAAATTTTGCATTTCCTAAACCTTTGCAATATTATCATGTGACAAAAAAATGGAACTACCACTATTTTATTCTTTAGGGTATATGCTTTCAGAAAATATATATAATTGGGGGTTTTGTGTGATCTTCAGGCCTGAAAATTATTTTTTAAACGTATGCAAAAAAATGCAAAACCGGCTGTGGCAGCGAAAAGGTTAAAAGTCAAATTTCTTCAGTATGTCATAGAGAGTACTGATATCAAAGAAAGCAAATAAAATGTTGACATAAAGTTGATTCTTTAAAAGAAAATTTACAAAATATGGATTCATATACATACTCTATATTGCCAAAAGTATTGGGATGCCTGCCTTTATTAGTACTGATCACTATATCAGTGTCACTGGAGATGTCAATGGCAGTTAGTCAGTTCCCACAAAGTGTCAATTAGATCACAGTCACAGTCCCACAAGTCACTGACTGCCGCCATTACTAGCATAAAAAATAAATAAAAATTCCAGTGTGTGTATATATGTATATATATATATATATATATATATATATATATATACACACTATACTGCCAAAGTATTGGGACATCTGCCTTTACACGCACATGAACTAATGGCATCCCAGAATCAGTCCATAGGGTTCAATATTCTTCCAGAAGCGCATTTGTGAGGTCAGGCACTGATGTCGGACGAGAAGGCCTAGCTCGCAGTCTCCGCTCTAATTCATCCCAAAGGTGTTCTAACGGGTTGGAGGTCAGGACTTGAGATGGAGGTGCAGGCCAGTCTAGTTCCTCCACCCCAACTCGCTCATCCACGTCTTTATGGACCTTGCTTTGTGCACTGGTGCACAGTCATGTTGGAACAGGAAGGGGACATCCCCAAGCTGTTCCCACAATGTTGGGAGCATGAAATTGTCCAAAATGTCTTGGTATGCTGACGTCTTAAGAGTTCCCTTCATTGGAACTAAGTGGCCAAGCCCAACCTCTGAAAAACAACCCCACATCATAATCCCCCCTCCACCAAACTTTACACTTGGCACAATGCAGTCAGGCAAGTACAGTTCTCCTGGCAAATGCCAAATCCAGACACATCCATTGGATTGCCAGACAGAGAAGCGTGATTCATCACTCCAGAGAACACGTGTTCACTGCTCTATAGTCCAGTGGTAGCGTGCTGTACACCACTGCATTTGACGCTTTGCATTGCACTTGGTGATGTAAGGCTTGGATTCAGCTGCTCTCGGCCATGGAAATCTATTCTATGAAGCTCTCTACACACTGTTGTTGTGCTAATCTGAAGGCCACACGAAGTTTGGAGGTCTTTAGCTATCGACTCTGCAGACAGTTGGCAACTTCTGTGCACTGTGTGCTTCAGCATGTGCTAACCCTGCTCTGTGATTTTACATGTTTCCGTTGTTCCCAGTTGCTTCCACTTTGTTATAATATCACTAACAGTTGACTGTGAAATGTTTAGTAGCAAGGAAATGTCACGGATGGACTTATTGCACAGGTGACAACCTATCACGGTACCACGCTTGAATTCACTGAGCTCCTGAGAGCGACCCATTCTTTCACAAATGTTTGTAGAAGCAGTCTGCATGCCTAGGTGCTTTATTTTATACACCTGTGGCCATGGAGGTGATTGGAATACCTGAATCCAACGATTTGGAGGTCTGGCCCAATACTTTTGGCAATATAGTGTATGTACAAAAAGTTTCTGGCAAACATTAAATATTTCAAATGGCAATAAAACAAAACATATTGTCCATTGTCCATTGTTAAATGTTAAATTTACTGCACAGATAATAAATACATGTAAATCAAATACTGTATATGGGAGTGCCATAAAAAATAGTTTGATGTCCACGAATTGTATTCTCACAAAGACAACTGTAATAACAAAAAAAGAAACATTTCTAATGTTTAGCCAAGTGATACACGCAGGCATATAAATCTGTCTACCATTGTGTTTACATTTATGGAAATGCAGCACAAGAACAGGAAAAAAAATGGAACAGATGAAAAATTCTACATACACTCTATAAATATCACAAAAAGATAGCTTAAATGACTGCAAAATAATTATTCCACAAATTGAAAAATGTAATTCTTTGAACTGGGTATAGATAAGATAAATATTCTGTAATTTCTAAATGATTAAGAGCTGGTATACAGTCATGGCCGAAATTGTTGGCACCCTTGATATTTCTCCAGGAAATCATGTATTTCTCACGAAACGTATTGTATTAACACATGTTTTGCTATACACACATGTTTATTCCCTTTGTGTGTATTGGGACAAAACAAAAAAAGGGAGGAAAGAAAGCAAATTCGACATAATGTCACACAAACCTCCAAAAATGGGCTGGACAAAAGTATTGGCACCCTTTCACAACTGCGGATAAATAAGAATGTTACAAGCATGTGATGCTCCTGTAAACTCACCTGGGGCAAGTAACAGGTGTGGGCAATATAGAAATCACACCTGAAAGCAGATAAAAAGGAGAGACGTTCACTTAACCTTTGCATTGTGTGTCTGTCTGTGCCACACTAAGCATGGACAACAGAAAGAGGAGACGAGAACTGTCTGAGGACCTGAGAACCAAAATTGTGGCAAAATATCAACAATCTCAAGGTTACAAGTCCATCTCCAGAGAACTAGATTTGCCTTTGTCCACAGTGCGCAACATTATCAAGAAGTTTGCAACCCATGGCACTGTAGCTAATCTCCCTGGTCGTGGACGGATGAGGAAAATTGATGAAAGATTGCAACGCAGAATAGTCCGGATGGTGGATAAGCAGCCCCAAACATGTTCCAAAGACATTCAAGCTGTCCTGCAGGCTCAGGGAGCATCAGTGTCAGCGCGAACTATCCGTCGACATTTAAATGAAATGAAACGCTATGGCAGGAGACCCAGGAGGACCCCACTGCTGACACAGAGACATAAAAAAGCAAGACTACAGTTTGCCAAAATGTACTTGAGTAAGCCAAAAGCCTTCTGGGAAAACGTCTTGTGGACAGATGAGACCAAGATAGAGCTTTTCGGTAAAGCACATCATTCTACTGTTTACCGAAAACGGAATGAGGCCTACAAAGAACAAAACACAGTACCTACGGTAAAATATGGTGGAGGTTCAATGATGTTTTGGGGTTTGTTTTGCTGCCTCTGGCACTGGGTGCCTTGACTGTGTGCAAGGCATCATGAAATCTGAGGATTACCAAAGGATTTTGGGTCGCACTGTAGGGCCCAGTGTCAGAAAGCTGGGTTTGCGTCCAAGATCCTGGGTCTTCCAGCAGGACAATGACCCCAAACATACGTCAAAAAGCACTCAGAAATGGATGGCAAAGAAGCGCTGGAGAGTTCTGAAGTGGCCAGCAATGAGCCCAGATCTAAATCCCATTGAACACCTGTGGAGAGATCTTAAAATTGCTGTTGGGAAAAGGTGTCCTTCCAATAAGAGAGACCTGGAGCTGTTTGCAAAGGAAGAGTGGTCCAAAATTCCGGGTGAGAGGTGTCAGAAGCTTATTGATGGTTATAGGAAGCGACTGATTTCAGTTATGTTTTCCAAAGGGTGTGCAACCAAATATTAAGTTAAGGGTGCCAATACTTTTGTCCAGCCCATTTTTTGGGGTTTTGTGTGACATTATGTCATATTTGCTTTTCTGCCTCTGTTTTATATTTGTTCCAATACATACAAAGGGAATAAACATGTGTATAGCAAAACATGTGTTAATGCAATACCTTTTTTTGTGTGAAATACTTGATTTTCAGGAAAAATATCAAGGGTGCCAACAATTTCGGCCATGACTGTATATTGTTATATGTTTATATTGATCATTTTTTGTATGCAGTTTACTAATTTAAGAAATACACAAATGCCAAAAAAGCTAGTTGAAAAAATAACTACTAAGCCTAGTCATGTCTAATGTTTTAAAAAACATTCAAGCATTTGAGTATATTTTTAAAAGTGTTCTTTTCTTATCTTGTTTTTTTAATATATAAGCACTTTGAGACACACCAATGAATTTTAAATTGGGCCCATTCACACTAATGTGCAGTGCTGATGCACCTTACATGTGCTAGTGCACTGCGGTGACAAAAATCTGCATTGAATTGTGCTGTAGCAAGGGGTGGTGCACTACTATGTATTACAGTTTATTGTGAAAAAAAAATGAGGTCTGTTGCGGTGCGTTAGGCAGCCTATTCAACCACACATGGGTTAAACACACCATAACAGACCTGAGTGGTGTAGGTGGGCCCTAGAGACACATATTAATGCAAATTTAATTTATTATTGAATCGTTAAATGAGAAGTATGACCAAAACTTTTTTGGGTCTTACTTCTCTTCTGTGTCATCCAGAGTGCACTTATTTTTGCACACCTAGAATCCAGAATCAGCCAACAGCGATCTAAAGCCTGCTGTTGGCTGATGATACAGAGCCGCTCCAAGCTCTAAAATGATCCTGACCATATTATTGGAATCCACCCAGATGTTTGATTGACAGCTGGCTCAGCCTCTCAGTGTGCATCTCTGAGACAGAACCAGCCATTTCTGCCCCCTCCCCAGCCCAGTGCTCCAGTGAGGGGCATAGCAGAGTGCTGCTCTCTGCTCAGAGCTCTGAGAGTGATCAGCCGTCATGTGATTGGTCAGTTTTCAGACTTAGAGCTGCAGCCTGGAGGTGAGTATAGATTTTTTTTTTTATTCCCATACTTCTTCTTGAAATATATGTTACAAATGAGTGAAATAGGGACACAGTGACAACCATCCCAGAGCATTGTAAGACATCCTGCTGCCCAACTGAGGAACCGGACGCTGAGGACACTGTGTGGGGTACACTTTGCCAGTGACCAGAAGGAGATCTACTGCAGAGTGGTTAGAGTCTGCTGGTCAACCCTGCATTGCACCTTGACTAAAGAAGGAAATAGTTGTCTGCAGAACTCCAGTGGCAATGCATGCATCAGTTCTTAAAGGAACATTACCTTGAGTGCTCCACCACAACAGTTGAGCCCCAACGAGCTGGCCAGCAGAAGAAATGAGGTAGCATATCTGATGACTGTTATCATTGTTGCTTAGCCTGTTGCATTACACCATTTGCTATAATTTAACCAATTGCTGTGTCAATGCTGGGGCGTATATTCAGATATCTGCAGTAAACATGCCCTGCTCAGTTAGGTGTGTCAGTGTGTGTGGTACTGTACAGAAACAGGTGACCCAATATATCAAGCAGTGCCTTCTGGGGTAAGCACTACAGAGTAATCACATAATTGTTTATTGATTTATAATAAATCAGTAAAATATCAATATATCTGACACATCACTTACTAAACACCTTCACTCATTTCATGCCTGTCTTTTCCCTGAAAGAGACACCTACTCTTCTTTTCATAATCCATCTGTCTGTGTGTCTTAAGCCCTGACTACCTTTTTGCTTTTCATGAAGAGCACACAAATAATCCAGACTGTATTAAAACCTCTTACAGTCATTTAGACCTGGAAAACCCCTTAATCCTGTTACTATATTACTTTGCATTAGAAAAGAGTCTTCTAAGTGGAATTGTATATAAAGTCTAGAGAGCTGTCACCCTATGTCTATTGGGCAAGTGTCCTCATGTCTGATTAAAGGCGAATACAGATTGTTTTATCAGTGTGCACATATTTTACCTCCTTCCTGCCGGCCCTACCCATATATTCAGCCTCTCGGCACGTGGGCCCTAATGCCAAGAGGCCCCAAACTGTATATGCATACCTAAAGATAAACAGAGCTGTGCCGAAAGCGCAAAGCACAGTTACCAGCAGCTAACCGAAAGCTCCCGATCTCTATTTGTGATAGGGAGCTTTACAATCATGTTACCGCTGTGACAGCCAATCGCAGCAGTCACATGATCAGAAACCCTGCCCCGCCTCCCAGCATCTAAAACCCCTTAACTGCCTTCTGCCTACCATATAAAGAAACGATGGGCGGGAGGCAGATCTCTCATTCTGGTGTAAGCCGTGTACCGGGGTGGGCTCCCCAGGATACAGTGAAGTCACGAACGAGGAAAGCAACCCCAACACCAGCTTTTGCCACAACAGAATTTTTCTTAGATGTGGCAAATAAACACAACCACAAATGCTGAGAACATACAATAAATTTACATACACCCAGCCCAAAGGCTGAGACCCTTGTGCTGCACAGCACGGCGCCTTCTGATGGATGAAGGTAGAAAGTGAAGTAATTTACCTACTGGCGGGTACAACTAAGCTGCCACACCTTACCTGTTATTACCCTAAAAGAGCAGGAATCAGTGTATGGGTGTATGGTATGGGCTAGTCTGCGGTGCAGCACAACAGCTTACAATCTTACACAAATCTACAGTATTCCCCCTCCCATAACTGGTCCTGTAGCACGTGCCTGAGTATTCCTTCTGAGCAAAACGCCAGTCTGGCTTGAGTTTGTAGGATTTTATCAGCTCTCCAATGTGAAATGTCACTTTAAGTTATGGAGTCCTTCCAATGATCAGTAACAACACTTGTGGCCTGACACAAACGGGGGCCCTAACTAACCAACTATAGGCCTGGACTCAGTCTCAAGGCGCCAACACTGAAATGAGGTGCGTGCACGATCTTAACGACCCGGGTCTGCTTTTCATCCGCCCTGATGATCAGTGTAGCCCCACCAGTGCCACCAGTCAGTGTCCATCAATGCTACCTGCCAGTGCCCATCAGTGCCACATCAATACCACATATCAGTGCCTACCAGTGCACATCAATACCACATATCAGTGCCCATCTGAGCTGCCTTTCAGTGCCGACTATCAGTGCCGACTATCAGTGTCACCTATCAATGCCAGTCAGTGTCGCCTATCAGTGCCAGTCAGTGCCGCCTATCAGTGCCCATCAGTGCTGCCTAACAGTTCCAGTCAGTGCCACCTATCAGTGCCTATCAGTGCTGCCTACCAGTGCTATCTTTCAGTGCCATATACTGTATGAGTGCTGCCTTTCAGTGCCCATCAGTGATGCCTGTCAATGCCCATCAGTGCCACCTACCAGTGCCTCCTCATCAGTGCTCATCAGTGCAGCCTCATTAGCGCACATCAGTGAAGGAGAAAAATCACTTATTTACAAACTTTTATAACAAACTAAGAAAAAACTTCTTTTTTTTTTAAATTTTCTGTTGTTTTTTTTGGTTTGTTTAGCAAAAAAAAAAACCCAGAGGTGATGAAATACCACCAAAAGAAAGCTCTGTCTCAAAAAACTGATAAAAATTTCATATGAGTAAATTGGCCTGGGCAGGAAGGGGGTGAAAGTGCCCAGAAGGTAAGTGGTTAAAGGGCAGGGAGGCGCCCAGCACCAAGGGGTAAGTTATTATTGCGATGTAATATACTGTAATTTTTGTTATGACATTTACATTTGTACATGAGTGTTCTTCATTGTTTTTATTGTGTTAAATGCAGAGATATTCGGTACTAGAGGCAAGGTAGATTAGCCATTGCGCTGACTGTTCATCCCTGCTTAACAACTGCTGAGATAAGATACCAGGCACACAGGAAGTGCATTGTTTTAATCAGGGCTCTTGTTTCTCAGAAAATAGATGCAGGAACTTAACCATGGCCCCTAACTCCCCCCCCCCACACACACACCCTCCACACAGCATCAAATAGTGGGTGTGGTCAAATTTCACTAACAGTGGGAGGGCCTTAATGGGGCATTAAATACAATAAGTGCGTTACATACAGAGGGCATAGTTTGTGTGGGGGGCAGGGGGTTACACACAGACTGAAGAATTCAGGGGTGTACTGCATACAGGGTGCAGAGTTCGGGGGTGCGCTACACATAGAGTGCAGAGTTCAGACTTCTTCCAAAGCTGCTTACTTCTGCATTCCCCATCTACATCTCACTTTCACCCCTCTTCAGCTCTGATCTCTGCATGCAACCCCCCTCCACTGCCCCCTTCTTCTCTGACACACCTTAAAAAGTTTCACCATCTTCCACATGCTGGTGTTGCTCTATTAGGCTAAAGCACCCAGCCGGCTCTAGTACCTTCCCACATACTGTAGGTGGCTCTTCCTCTCTCACCTGGAGGGAGATCATCCAGTGGGGGTATCAGCATCCATACTACACCCTGGGCACCTTTATTTTCCTTGTCCCCATCCTGCACTCAGTGGGAGCCACTCAGAACATCAGATCTGTGGGAGCCGTTGGGGGACAAGTTGTCACCTGTAAACACAGAAGCGACATCTCTGGGTTTACAAGTGATAGTGGTGAGCAGGTAACAGAGAGCCTGAGCCAGAGGTGGTGTAACTGAGTTCCGCTAGTTTCAGCTGAAAAAAGCCCTGGTTTTAATAAGTCAGTGGGTGTCAGGGCAGGAACGCTGGAATGGGCACGCAGGCCTATGGTACGGTCACGCTGCGACTGACGACAGCCACTACCCACAGACCAGAGTCCCTCAGGGCGCGGAGTCTAAGCCCCAGGCTACCCTTCACCAGGGCCCCTGATGGTGGGGATGGACTTGACGCACCCTGAGACCAGGTCGCGGCCCCCGAGTGACCCCAGCTGCGATAACGACTGCCGCCAATGGCGTACAGCTGGTGGGAGCTAGATGGGAACACGAGTAGAGTAATCAGACAAGCCGGGTCAATAACAACGGAGCAGACGGTACTAGACGGTAGGCAAAGAATACTCAGGTCACGAGCCGGTTTCAGCAACGGAAGGTCAGGTAAAGGGTTAATGCAGAGAGTAGTCTTGTCCAAGCCGAGTCGGTTACCAGGAGAGCAATGGGAACAACACAAGAGCTTGCAACAGGGCAACATACAGGACACAAGTGCAGAGCACACTTGCAGACAGCAGATTTAAATGTGCTCAACCACACCCTTCTGAGGATGAGCCGCAGAAGCCTGAAGGCATAAAGGTTCCCACCATGCTTTGCAGAAAACCAAGATGGATGCCAGCTCATGGAGATGCACAAGCTCTGAAGAAAGGTAGGACCTTGACAGTGGGCTCATAGATAGGGATTGGTGAAAAAAATGTCAAAATATACGGTGGGAAGAGTGTCCTTTTAATGCCACTTTGAGGGTGAAAAACATGAATGCTTTAAATAACAGGCTTAGGAGATGCCTTTTAAGCTGTATGTAGTGTTATGGAACAGTATGATTCTCATAGACAATGTCAATACCAACATATTCTGCCATCACAGTTGTTGGATTTGTAATTACGTTTTATGCAGAGTAACCAAGGTACTGGATTATTACATTGCAACCAAGTTTATTTACAAAAACATATCCAGACTTACATCAAGGCAAAGGAAGAGCAGCTCTGAAGTGGAGGGTAAACTTCCAATCCACAGCAACTCATACCAACAGATCAATGAGCCGGGTGATGGAGAGCCGGACCTGCCAAACCAGCAATGTCTATATGGCCTCCCGCCGACATTCACTGCTACTACCCATGCCAGAATCTGTTCCAGCACAATGCGTTTCAGGGCTCAGCACCCTTTTTTCAAGTCAACCCACTGGACAGTAAACAGCCTGACTTTTATGCTGGTGGGTGGAGAAGGAGCAGTATTGAAGTCACAGGGGGCCGGCGCAAATAACAGGGTCAGCATTAGCATTTGTCAAGGAAAACACTAGTGGGTCAACAGGAACCAGCAGCGGAGAACAGAGGCGGCAACAGGTCTAAATGAAATAGGATCGGCACAGACAATAAAGCCAAGCACTTCATTCATGTGCAGTTATTATGTATAGCTACAGGAACCAACCGCCAGGGGAAACAATCCAAAACTGACAGTCGGGATTAAATAAATGAGTAAAACAAACAGCCACAGTGTCGGCTCCAGGGAATCAGTAAGGAGCGCCATCACCCAGCTCAAGGATGCTGCGACACTATAAATACTATACAAACACATAATGAAACAATATACATATAACAAACAGATGAATTTATATATCATTAAAATGTATTAATTATGTATTACATAATGATAAAATTAAAAATTAAAGAAAATATATAATATATATATATAACTAATATTAAAAAATTCTAATAAAAATGTATTTGCACCACGTAGTGATTTTAGACCATACAGTGGTTAGGAAAAATATTCACCCCCATTTTAAAATATTCATATTTTGTTGCTATGCAGTCTGAAATGAAGATGGACACAGTTTTTGTTTTATCCAGCTGTTCAACTTATAGCATCCAAGTGAAAGATATAACACCAACCTGTCAGAAAAAAAACTAAAAAAAAACAAAAAAACAGAATCACTGAGTTGGAAAAAGTATCATCCCCCTCCCCCATCCTAAAAATGACTTGTTCTCAAGTCATTTTCAGGAGGTCAACTCAATTAGGTGTAGCTAATCACCTTCTCAATGGCACACAAAGCCATTTGACTTTCAGCTGTGATCAGCTCTGGTCATTTTGATTAGCTCATCATGAAAAGAGCTTTCCTGGAGCATTTTACTCCCTGTGGTTCAACTAAAGCAAACAAACAACTATGGTGGCAAGGCACTGTCAGAAGATCTCCAGGATAAAGTTGTGGACAGGCACAAATCAGGAGATGGAAACTAAAAAAATGTCAAAGGCTTAGTCAATGCCTAGAAGCACAGTGAAATCTATTAAGAAGTGGAACGTATTTGGTACAACAGACCCTCCTTGAATCAGGTCGTAGCTCCAAACTGGATGAAAGAGCCAGGAGAAAACTGATCAGAAAGGTTACTAAGAGGCCTACAGCAGCTCTGAAGCAGTTGCGGGAATTTATGACAAAGAGTGGTCATTGTGTGCACGTGACAACAATATCACAAATTCTCCACAAATGTGGCTTGTATGGGAGGGTTGCAAGAAAAAGAAACGCCTCAAGAAATGCCACATGCAGTCATGACTGAGTTTTGAAGATTCTGAGGCCACATGAAAAAAGATGTTATGGTCAGATGAGACTAAAATTTAATTATTTGACCTCAACACTAAATGATATGTCTGGCAGAAATCCAATACAGCTCACCAACCAAATAACACCATTCCTACAGTAAAGCATGGAGGTGGGAATATCCTGTTACGGGGGTGTTTCTCTGTAGTAGGTACTGGAGCACTTGTCAAGATAGAAGGAAAAATGGATAGGATGAAATTCCATAAAATTCTTGTGGAAAATCTGTTGCCCTATGCCAGAAAATTGTCAATGGGAAGAAGGTTTACCTTCCAACATGACAATGACCCAAAGCACACAGCAAAAATGACCAGACAGTGGTTAAAGGAAACAAAGCTGAAAGTCCTTGCATGGCCTAGTCAGAGCCCAGACTTAAGCCCCCATTGAAAATCCTTTTTCCAACTCAGTGATTCTGTTTTTGATTTTTTGTTTCTGACATGTTGGTGTTATATCTTTCACTTGGATATTATAAGTTGCACTGAGCAAATACAGCTGGATAAAACATAAACTTTGTCTTCATTTCAAGCTGCAAAGCAATAAATTGTGATTATTTTAGAGGAGGGTGATTCTTTTCTATACCTGCTGTAAACAGTTATTATAGACAAACCAATTAAAAGACACAAACTAATACATAAGAACTTATTATAATAAAACACACACATGCACCTGTGGGACATGCATTTGTCAAATTGGAACAATTTATTGCTATGATATTATTTGAAAGGCTTTTCATTTTTTATAATTAACCACTTGACAACCGCGCTATAGCCGAAAGACAGCTACAGCGCGGTTGTCCAGTTCTGGGAGGGCGTCATATGACGTCCTCCCAGAACGTGCCCTCCCTGTGCACCCCCAGTGGCATGCACCCGGCGCTGTCAGTGATCACTGTGTCCTACGGACACAGCTGATCAAATAACGAGGTAATAGGTCAATCACAGTGGCCTTTTAACATGTGATCAGCTGTGTCCAATGACACAGCAGATCATAAAGTAAATACAGTTACTGGTGATCAGCTGCATTTCCCTCTTGCTGTCACAGTGTGAGCAAAGTACTGCTGATAACAGGCAAGTGTTTACAGAGGACATCTGCACTGATAATCAGGGCACTGATTATCAGTGCCCAG